TCTCCTTGTCCATCCACTCACTCCTCACTCACTCATTGATAGTCTCCTTCAGTCTGGTACAACTCTCAGATTTTCTCTTGACACTTGAAACTGTGACACAGGCCAGTTCTTTTGTAAAATTCCTGCAGTTGGGGTTTGTCTGGTGTTTTTCTTGTGCTCGGTGTTGTGCCTCTTTGGTGGAGGTAGCACGTAGGTGATGTCTCTGTTCTTTCCACTGCATCCTGTTTGGGAACACATGATTGTAACTTGACCTATTACTAGTAATGTTCACAAATGTACTAGCCTTCTCTACTGTGAAGCTATCCCCACCTTGTGTATTTGGATGGGGACCTTCTGTTCACCATACCCCCAGGTGGACACACTCAGCCACTCAGTACACCGTGCTCTTGACTGGCTCGGGGCCTCGGTCCTGACTGCACTCTGCCCCGGTACTTGATGTGTGCATGCATAGACACACATGTATAGGGGCCGGAAGGTGACATTGAAGTGTCTTCCTTGATAACTCTCCACCCTAGTTAATGGAGCAGGATTCATCAGTGAAGCCATAGTTCACACAGTCCAGCTAGCCAGCTTGTCCCAGGAATCTCCAGAGGGCTACCACACTGTCTTGAATTTTCATGGTGATGGTACTCACACTTGCATATCAAGTGTTTTACTCAAGCCATTTCCCAGGCTCTTATTTTCCCCTTTAATTAATAAGTATTTGATAGGCAGTGCCTTGTAACTATGCACATAATCCATTCTTAATCATACATTGCATTTATGGAGCCAGACCTGTATATACTTTGATTGGGTTCAGTATAATCTGCTGTTATCACTGTTTTTCATTACTCATTTTAATGAGCTTGTCCTAGATGTAGCTCATGGTAGAGTCTTAGTTTGCCTGGAATTACGGTCTCCCAGAACTTGCAGCTTTCAGTGGTAAAACTCTGAGAGACCTGGTAAACTCTGAGGAGTTGATTAGTTTTCAGGCTGGTTCTCAGTCTGCTGGACAAGGACTCTGCCATTTCCTTCCCTTCCAGCAGTAAGATGTCCCTGGCTCATCCCATACCTCCTATGACCCAGCCCTGGAATCACCCATTTGTCCAAGCTGACTTGGAACCAGGGACCTTTTGAGTATTAGGCTATGTATGCCATGCCACAGAAACTTGAGCCAGGTGGACATGCTCAGCCACTTAGTATACCATGCTCTTGCCTGGCTCTGGGCTTTGGTCCTCACTGCACTCTCTGCTCTGTCCTTGGCAAACACCTCCCTCCTAGACTGAATTTCTCCAGGAAGTCGCTCCCCACCAGCCTCTGAGGACCCAGGCTGTTCTGAGTGAGCTCTACCAGGCATGCTAGGTCATCTTCCTTGTCTGAAAGGTTAAGTCCTGGCTTCAGATTCACTTCTGCCTCCTGACTCAGGACAGGGCTGGAACTGGGGACTGCTAGTTAAGTGGTGGGATCCAGTCACACCTTTTCATGGACCAGAAAAGTAAATGGGGGCAGAGGAAAAACAACTTTCATAAAGCCACACTTTATAGGTATAGGTTGGAGTTGGAGTTCTTTTTTTTTTTTTTTTTTTTTTTTTTTTTTTTCGGAGCGGGGTTTTTTGTGTGTATCTTGGGAGCCTAGTTCATTCTTTAATTTTTTTCTTTTTTCTTTCTTTACTCTCCTCTATCCCTCCCTCCTTCTCTCCCTCCCTCCCCCCTCTTTCTTTCTTTTTTCCTTTCTTTCTTTTTTCCCTTTCTTTCTTTCTTTCTTTCTTTCTTTCTTTCTTTCTTTCTTTCTTGGTGGTGGTACTGGTAGAACCCACAGCTTTGGCCATGCTAAGCATTGGCTTTGCCAATGAGCTCCATCCTTCTCTTGCCTGAACTTTATAACTCTCTTTAAGCTGGTTGTGGTGGCCCACGATGGTAGGATTTGGTGAAGGAGGCAGAGGCAGGAGGATCACTCTGTTTAAAATAAAAAATGAATACATATGTATTTATGCATGCATGTGTGTTTGTGTGCATGTGTATGTTTTCAAATTATTTTGTTCAGAGGCTTGAAGGTAGGGAAGGGACTAAAGATTTGTCTGGTGTTCTCAACAGGGTAGAGATCTATCTGACCTCCTGGTGGCTGACCTCTAGAATTCTTCATTCTAAAATGGGTCTCATTCCTCAGAATGTAGCTATGTGCTAGGGGATCTTTTTACTTAAAAAAAAATGTTATTAGCCAGGCAGTGGTGGCTCCCATCTTTAATCCCAGCACTTGGGAGGCAAAGAGTGGCAGATCTCTGTGAGTTTGAGGTCAGCCTGGCCTACAGAGCTAGTTGGACAGCCAGGGCTACACAGAGAAATCCTGTCCCGAAAAACTAAAGGAAAAGAAAATTCATTATTGCTGAAGCAGTACTTCAAACATTTCAGAAAATCAGAAATACAAATGGAAGGAAAACAAAATATTGCACTCCTATCAGAGAGACAGCCACCGTGACTGGAGATTTGTGTGTCTCAAGCTTTTTCTAAGCATAGATTTTCCTTACTGCATGTTGCAGTTTGTAACATACTTGGGGGGGGTGCAGAAATTTCCACCATTTGTTTCCATTAATTTTCAGTGCATCTAATATTCAGATCACCTCCATGCTTCTCTAGTTGTCCCCAGAACATCTCTTGTAAGGTGGAACAGGGTTGTTGTACAAGGCACTAAAGAGGCTGGGGCAGGAAGATCACAGTTCAAGTCCAACCTGGGCAGTTTAATGAGAGCCAATCTCAAAATAAAAAAACGAAAAGAGGCCTGGGAATCCAGCTCAGTTATAGAACATTTGTCTTGCATGCGTGAGGTCCTGGACCAAATCTCTGGTTAAAAGGAAGAGGGAGGGTCGGGCGCACGCCTTTAATCCCAGCCCTCGGGAGGCAGAGGTAGGCGGATCTCTGTGAGTTCGAGGCCAGCCTGGTCTCCAGATCGAGTGCCAGGATAGGCTCCAAAGCTACACAGAGAAACCCTGTCTCAAAAAACCAAAAAAAAAAAAAAAAAAAAAAAAAAAAAAAAAAAAAGAGAGAGGGGGGAGGAGGAAGAGGAGGAGCCAGAGAAGGGAGAGGAGGAGGAGTGTCCTGTTTATAGCTGATGTTTAACAACCCAGAGTCACATTTTACAAATGGTACTGCCTAGGGCTGGAGAGATGGCTCAGTGGTTAAGAGCCCTGGCTGCTCTTCCAGAGAAACTCACAATTACCTGTAACTCCAGTTTCAGGGGATCTGATACCTTCATGCAGGTAAAACACCAATGTATATAAAATAAGTCATTTTAAAAAATGGCAGTTGGTGGCAGCACACGCTTTGATCCTCAGGAGGCAGAGGCAGGCAGATCTCTTGAGTTCAAGGTCAGCCTGGTCTATAGAGTGAGTTCCAGAATGGCCAGGGCTATTCAGAGAGACCCTGTCTCAAAAAAACCAAAAACAATGACAACAGTAACAACAAAAAACCCAAATGGTAATCCAGGCATGGTGGCACTTTAATCCCAGTACTTGGGAGGCAGAGGTAGGCAGATCTCTGAGTTTGAGTCCGACCTAAGAGAGGTCCAGGAGAGCTGGGGCTACACAGAGAAACCCTATCTCAAAACAAATCAAACACCAAATGGTGGTGCTCTGTTCTTTCTTTATGGTATCAACCTGACAATGTGCCACCCATCTACAGGCTGGGAGCTCCACCTGGCTTTGTCTACATCTGTTCTCATGATGTCACTTACCTTGTTCCTCTGTGACCTTTATTTTTTGTAATCTGAAGTGGTGTGTTGGGTATAGTGAGTTTTTTGTACTTAGAATCCTCAGCTGGGAGCTTTCATGTGCTCTCATGGTGCCAAGGCCTATCCAGGGCAAGGGGGAGGTGGAGCTGCCTCTTCTGTAGCTACATGTACTCCCTCGTAGGTAGAGAGTAACATGTATGTGTGGGTTTCCTGTGCTGGATGAATGTCAGTTCTGAGAGAACATTATAGGCTACATAGCAAAACTGTTGTATTTGCTATGGGGAACTTGATCTTGGGGGTTGGGCTCTTGGGGTGGAATAGAACAAGGACACCGAATCTCACCTTTTTGAATACAGATCTTGAGAACCCTGGTTCAGTCTTTACTTGCTTCCCAGACATGTGAGCTGGATTAAATCCCAGCCCTGCTACTTAACCAGCCAGGTGACCTTGGGCAGGGCACTAAACCTCTTTGAACCTCAAGTCCCTTTTTGGCTTTCTTAACCGGCATAATCATTGGGAGGCCTAAATAAAGCAAGGTGCACTTGGCGGTTCTCTCCCCTGGATGGGAAGCTCTTTTGAGGGTACAACTAAGTAACAGGGAGATGTCTGAAGATAGTCTCCTAGCTTAGGATGACTGACAGTCCACTATTTAACCCAGGCTGGCCTTGAACTTGAGGTGATGCTTCTGTCCCAGCCTCTCGTGTGTGTGTGTGTGTGTGTGTTGTGTGTGTGTGTGTGTGTGTGTGTTCTAACCCAGGCTGGCCTTGAACTTGAGGTGATGCTTCTGTCCCAGCCTCTTCGTGTGTGTGTGTGTGTGTGTGTGTGTGTGTGTGTGTGTGTATCTGTGTGTGTGTGTGTTTGTGTGTGTGTGTGCGTGTGTGTGGGGCTGTGGGGGGCCCACGGCCCCACACGCACACAGAGTATGGCCAGGTGGTAAGGTCTGTTTGGGCATTTGATTTTTTTCATTTAACGTATACCTATCTCAAGCTCCTTGTTGAATTAACTGTGAGCTTCTGCCCACACGCTGCTCCCAGGGGGTAGGGAGGGCAGACATAGAGACTGAGTGTGGGAGCCTGGATGGCTTGCCTGAAAAGGATTCCTGAAGAGGAGACTGGGCTGAGCCGGGGTGGGGGGGGGGGGGCAGGCTGGCTTTTGGGACAAGGGGGTTTTGGGTCTGGGGAGCTGGGCCAGGCTTGTGATAAGAAGTGGCCAAGCTGGCTCCAGTGTCCCCCGTTGCTATGTCTTCTCTTTCCCCCGCGCCTCGCCTGTATGCCCCGACAATCCATGTCTGTCTGCAGTGCAGGATGGAGTGCTGTGATGTGCCAGCTGAGACGCTCTACGACGTCCTGCACGACATAGAATACAGAAAGAAGTGGGACAGTAACGTCATTGAGACTTTCGATATCGCCCGCCTGACTGTCAACGCCGACGTGGGATATTACTCTTGTGAGCAGGCACAGAACAGGACTCTAACCCCTCAGCCTCCCACCAGGCCTCCTCCTCTAACTTTCCCTCCCTGCAGTCACTCCTGTGGCTGGGCTGCTCAGAGACCTGCACGCTGAGCTGGAGAGCTGCCCTCTTCTTGGGCGCAGTCACATACTCTCACTGACACACACACATGCAGACACCACACGCAAACATATGCGTGCACAGGTGCACATCCCACTCACAGCCCCCTGCCATGTACTACAGAGACACATTTTTATGCGATCACAGTACTGTCTTTCTTTCAAATATATTCACATACACACACAAGTCAGAACAATAAGGTAAGGGCTGTGTGAGGCCCTGTGGGACAGGGTAGGCAGAGATAGCGGGACAAATGTTCTGCTGTGCCCTCCCTGGTTCCACAGTGTGTCTATGGTAGAGGTGGGGGCACTGTCTGGATGGGGAGGGCTGGCAGTTAATAAAGATCCCCAAGGCTCTGGCCTCCATCACACCCTCCCTAATTGGTAGATGGGCCAGCAGCCTGGCTGAGCTGTTCCTTGTCCTCTACAGGGAGGTGTCCCAAGCCCCTGAAGAACCGTGATGTCATCACCCTCCGTTCCTGGCTCCCCATGGGCGCTGATTATATCATTATGAACTACTCAGTGAAACATCCTGTGAGTTGGCCTGCCCTCCCTCCTGGATGTGCAGCAGGGTGCCGGGCGGGGCGGGGCTGGGTTGTGGCTGTCACAGTGACTTCAGGCAGGCATGGGGGTCAGTTTCCTTCCTGCATAATGAGGATAATGGCTTCCTTGCAGGGGTTGTCAAGCAGCTCAGGGAAAGGGCAGTGTGGGCAGAAAGGGTGAGTGGTTTGAACTGATGTGGCTGACTGGCCCTTGGGATAAGGCTGGCCTAGAAATGGGGGAGCAGGAACTATATGGCCAGATCCTGTGTCAGGGCTCACTTGAACTCCCTGGCAGAGCAGAGAGGGCAGGCAGGCTAGCCTAGGCAAGGGTTGAGTGTCCACAAACACTCATAAACCCTGACTCAGCCCTGTGCTGTCCTGAGGGTACAGAGAAGGCTGTAAGAGGGGCAAGGATGACCTGGCCTGATGTTTTTTTTTCCTTAACCCATAGATGCCAAGGGATGCGAACAGCTATGATTTTGTGTGTGCTCGCTTGTGCACAAGTGCATGCCTTATAGAGACATTTCCTCCTTCCGTTCCCATCTCACCTCCCTGTGTCTTTCATCCCCAGAAATACCCACCTCGGAAAGACTTGGTCCGAGCTGTATCCATCCAGACTGGCTACCTTATTCAGAGTACAGGGCCCAAGAGCTGCGTCATTACCTACCTGGCCCAAGTGGATCCCAAAGGTGAGGGCTTGGCCCTGCAGCCCATGATGGCTCTTTCCTGTACAGGGCATGAACTTGATCAGCCAGGCCACCTGAAGGCCATCTGTTAGGAGCTACTTAGTATTGGGGGTGTCTATATCCAAGCTAGTGGTTTGAAAGGAATGGACCTAAGAGGCAGGCATTGCTCCTTCCAGGAGCTTGGATCTCTTCCTGGTGCTAGCACCCTAGTTTGGACCTGTGCTGCCTGTCTCCTTCAGCCACATCCCAGAGGCCTGGGTTTTCCAAGCTTGTCACCTCACTTCCATGTCAGCTGAGCACTCATCTCTGTTGAGGTGGCCAGCCTCCTAGACATCTTTCTCAGGGTATCTTCTAGACACTGGAGACTTGTATTCAACTATGAACTCACCACTGGCCTCCTAAACCCACCTTTTCTTCAGATCACCCCTGCTTAGCACTTATCAGTTAGCTGGGGCCAGCTTCTTCTTGTCAGCTCCCAAATCCAATACTTAGTCTCTCTCCCCTTCCCTTTTTTCTCATTTTGTACCCCAGGCTGGCCTTGAACTCATCATCATCCTGTCTCCATCTGCTGAGTACTGGGGATTGCAGGAACATGCTAACATACTCAGCCCCTGGTTCTTACCTTTTCACCCTCTAGCATAGCACTTAGCCTGTCGTTCTCTTGATACTCTTGTCACTTTGTCCAAACCAGCTACTAGAGGAAATGAAAAACAAAACCTCTTTATTTCCTGACTCACCTGCTTAAAATGCCACAGTGACTTTGTTTCCCTCTGAGTGTAGCCTGAGCCTCTGCCCAGGATTTCCAGCCCCTCCACACCCTTCCATTTCCCACCCCCATGTTCTTCCAGCCTTTATCGTCCGTTAGCTGCCTGCACCTCTCCTCCTTCCTCAGGGCTCCTCTGTAATTCCTCCGTCCCCAGTTCTCAGAGTGAGGACCGACTCCCTGTGTGTGGGGCCATTCCCCTCTGGCAGAACACCAGTCCATGTTGAGACAGCAGACATTGAGTTCCTGTTTGGATTCCCCAGGCTAGGCCAGGGTGGGTGTCACAGTGAATGCGGAGTGAGTGGGTTACTGAATGAGTGAATAAACAATAGTTAAACCTCAAGTGTCATCGACAGGAATACCCCATGTCACTTGGGCACAGTGGCCCAGGCCCTTGGCCCTTAATGAGTATACAGAGCAGGTACTTGGGAGTGAGACAGTTGGAGAACTGGGCTTTGGATTCCAGGTCAGGCTAGGCTGTGGCCTTAGGAGGCCCAGAAGGACAGGTAGGAGAGAGGCTGAGCACCAGGGACAGTCCTGGGTTATCAATGTGAGGGGAAGAAGGTGACAGTCTGGAGCTTGATGGGTCAGAATGTCAACTCACAGGTTACTTGTGGTCGCCTAGGACCCTGTGCTTTTCTTCTCTGCAGCTAGAGCTCAGCAGAGACAGTGGGGACAGAGATGGGCATGGGGGATTTGAGAACTTCATTGAGAAGAGAGGAAAAGGGGTGGCCTCCCTGCAAACTCAGGCAGTGGGTGGGACTAGGTGCTTAAGGCTGCCTTTTTTCCCTATCCTTGCCCCCACAGGCTCTTTACCCAAGTGGGTAGTGAATAAATCATCTCAGTTCCTGGCTCCCAAGGTATGTGGCTTTGTACTTTGGAAAATGGTGGGAGGGACAGGTAGCTATGGGCAGGGGCAGAGTTAACTCTGGCTGATGGATGAACCAGGTCTCCAAACTGGGCCATGATTGGGACACTGGGGACTGCTGTGCACCATTGGAGGTCACTGGAGGGGTGTGGAGAAGTGCTGGTCCTCCAGGCAACACTAATAATGTTCGGACACTCTACAGGCCATGAAGAAGATGTACAAGGCCTGCATCAAGTATCCCGAGTGGAAGCAGAAACACCAGCCGCACTTTAAGCCATGGCTGCACCCGGAGCAGAGCCCATTGCCCAGCTTGGCATTGTCAGAGCTATCAGTGCAACACGCGGACTCCCTGGAGAATATTGATGAGAGTACAGTGACAGAGAGCCGCGAGGAGCGAGCAGGTGGTGCAGGAGGAGAGGGCAGTGATGATGACACCTCGCTCACCTGAGTACAGCCTCTCTGCAAGGACCAAGACAGGACTGGGGTCAAGCCCTAGGGCACTGAGCCTTCTGCACTTCCTCCCTTCCCCCATCTGCCTTCTGGGGGCACTGGGCTCCTGCTCAGGTGGCTGCAGCCTAGCTGGACATGGCCCCAATAAATGAACCACACAGCCCCAGCCAGCTCTTTCTTGTGCCTGCTTCTCATCTGCCCAGCAACACGCTGCCCTGTTCTACAGTTATTTTCCTTAATACTATTATTGCTCGATGGACCTTTGCACCTGTAGGCATCTTATTTCTACTTCTGTAACTGCAGGATGGGGTCGTTGCTGCCTCCTGTCCTTTGTTTCCTTTCTCCCTGTCCATTTGCACGCTGACTTTGCTGGTCACAGAGGTTATCAGCTGTTTTCGGGGTCCTAGGAGGTGCTGGTCTGGCCAGAAGTCAGGTTTTTACTGTGTGACAGACCTCTGGTCCAATCTAGCTTTGGACTGTTGGTCTGGCACACTCTGTGGCTCCTGTCATCACAGAAGGAAGGGGAGGGACCCATGGGTCAAAGACAAGGGCTGGAGGCCTCAGAACTGAGAGGCAGGACAGTGTTTCCTGGAGGAGGGAGAGGGGTGGATGCTGGTGAGGACATGTCTAGTGCACAGAGAGCCAGTCAGTGTTGAAGTCCTTAGACTGGGATTGACAGAAATCCTGGGGTCCCTCCTTGACCAGGTGCCAGCCCTCACTAATGTTACACCTGGCTGCTCTGAGACTAGAGGGAGGCCTGACCTGTCTCTGCTGTCTGTGGCTCATCTGCTGCCCAAGGGATGCCCAGAGTCCCAGAGTTGGTCTTAAGCTTTGCTCTTCTCTGGTATTTTTGGCATCACAAGAACTTGGAGTCTATAAGTACTCCCAAAGATCTGACCCTGTTCACCTCTCCCAGAAACCCCTTACAGCCGAAAAGCACTCAGCTCAGAGTCGTTTTTTCCCAGAGGAACAGTTTCTGTGGAGAGAGGGCCCAGACAGGAGACCCTATCACCTGGAAAGTTCCAGCTCTAGCTCTGCCTGCCCATAATGGTCCTTAACTTTGAGAACACCCTGAAAAACTGCTGACTCTCATTTCCTAGCCTAGAACCTAGGGCGATAGCTTTTACCCTTAAGCTAGAATTGAGACTAAAAAGAACAAAGTGTCCATCACTGGGTCAGGCATGGAGTAGGCTATCTGGTTAAAGGCACCTTTCTCCATTCAGGGCAACCCCCTTGGCCCACCCTGCTTAAATATTAAATATGCCCACTGTACCTATGGAAAAATGGAAATAGAGCTAAGGCCTTTGGTTTGGCTGGCTGGCCCCAGGACCCAGAAATACCTGCCAAATCTAGGGATTTCATCTGTATGGAGAGAAGGTGAGAGGCTGTTAGGTTCTGGTGGGACTTTCCCAGGACCCTCTCTTGGGAGCTGTGGTTTGGTGCCGAAGGACTCCCAGGGAAGGTGGTGACCAGCCATGGTTGTCCTGCCTCCAACGGCTTCCTATCTTCTGGAGGGGTGTGTGTGTGTGTGTGTGTGTGTGTGTGTGTGTGTGTCTCGGTTTCTGTCTGTCTCTCCTGTGTGTGTGTGTGTGTGTCTGTTTCTGTCTCTCTCCCCTGTGTGTGTGTGTGTCTGTCTGTCTCTCCTGTGTGTGTGTGTGTGTGTCTGTTTCTGTCTCTCTCCCCTGTGTGTGTGTGTGTCTGTCTGTCTCTCCTGTGTGTGTGTGTGTGTGTCTGTTTCTGTCTCTCTCCCCTGTGTGTGTGTGTGTCTGTCTGTCTCTCCTGTGTGTGTGTGTGTGTGTCTGTTTCTGTCTCTCTCCCCTGTGTGTGTGTGTGTCTGTCTGTCTCTCCTGTGTGTGTGTGTGTGTGTCTGTTTCTGTCTCTCTCCCCTGTGTGTGTGTGTGTCTGTCTGTCTCTCCTGTGTGTGTGTGTGTGTGTCTGTTTCTGTCTCTCTCCCCTGTGTGTGTGTGTGTCTGTCTGTCTCTCCTGTGTGTGTGTGTGTGTGTCTGTTTCTGTCTCTCTCCCCTGTGTGTGTGTGTGTCTGTCTGTCTCTCCTGTGTGTGTGTGTGTGTGTGTGTCTGTCTGTCTGTCTGTCTGTCTGTCTCCAGGGGTGTCGAGGCAAGGAAACTCACGGATCAGGATCCTAGAGTCTCAGCAAGGGCGGGGTAGACAAGGGACATAAAAGCCTTATCGAGTTAGAAGGGCTAGGGAGAGACAAACCTGGCGGGCAAGTCTGTCCAGGGGACAGAAGATCCGGACTAGGCTGGGGGCGGGACCGGCCAGCTCCCTGCCCCTTCCCCGCCCTCACGTCCCCGGAGTGTCACGTGGGGCGGGCGGAAGCGCCGGGCTAGGTGGGCGCGCCCGGACCGCTGCCGCGAGTTGGCAGCGGCCGCGTGTGACAGACGGTACCGGGACTCCGGGTTCCCCGCGTGGAGTTCTCTTCGCTCAAAACAGGTCAGTTCGGTTGCTGGGGCCTTCCAATGGTCAGTGTGACCTGCACTGCCCCCATTCCTCAGAAGGTAATAGTGAGGCCTGGGGCACTTTTCCCGGGGTCATCTGGTGCACTCTCCTGCTGAGGGATGGAGTGAGGTGGGGTCGCCTCTGGAGGTGGAAGCTTCGGGCCAGACCCGTAGGGACAGGGAGGGTGAGCTGGTTGACACCGGCTTCCATCGCCAGCTCTTCTGCTTGCAGACTCCGGGGTGAGTCGCGTCGGGCGGCTGGGTTTTCCCACCCGAGAAATGAAGGCTCCCACCCAATCGACCGTGGACACTCTACAGCCTGGCAAAGCTGTAGAACTTTAGCCCTGGAGCTGGGGCGTTGGTAACCTTGGGCAGGCTACTTCCGTCCTCTGCACCTCAATTCTCCACCAGTTAATGGGGGCACGGTTTCTCCAGAGCCTACCTGGCCCAGTTGCCCGGAAAGGAGGGGTGTGTGTTCATTGAATGGGGTCAGTGGTGGATGGGCTTAGAGCAGGCTTGCAGTGCAGCAGGGGGCGGCGGCGAGGGTGTTTGGTCTCAGATCTCCATGGGTAGGTTTGGGTGCTGGGTCAGTTCGGTTGGCTTCACAGTAGGCTTCTGCCCGATGTTCCTCTAAATCCAGTGTCCTGGGGGAACCTTTCCCAATGCCCAGACTCGGGATGCAAGGGTGCTCAGGTATGGATTTGACTGCTGCTGGGTCCTAGGGACCCTGATACCTGTACTTGGAGAGCAGTAACTGTCTTGCTTGGGGAAGCCTAGCATCCTAGCACCGTCATTACAGGTATAAGAATCTCAGCAGAACCCAGAGACAGGTGTGGACAGGTGTCGATCTGGGAAGGAGAGGATGCCTGGAACTCTCCTTGGTAGTTAAGTGGCTGTTTGCAAAAACTGGCTGCAAGGTGAGCGCAGAGCTTGTGCAAAGGAACGGATTCTCTAACTTCTTGGAGGAAAGATGAGGAGTGGGTGTGGCTGCTAAGAGCAGGAGGGGAGGGTATGTGTAGAACTCATCCTTGGGACTCATACCCCATTGGAATTTTTTAGACGCTGGCCTGGGGACCCTGCTCCCAGTGGAATAGGGTACAAGTGAGATGTCCAAGGCAGGCTACTGATGGCTATGTGGTGGAGGTGGCCCCGATGCCCCCAAGTTTCATTTGGACATTCAGGCCTTGTTAATATGTCCCCATCACTTGGGATCCAGCCACACTCTCCACTCATCAAGAATCAACCTTTGTGCAAAGGTGTGCTGGTCCCACGAGTTTTCCTCTCATCCAAATCCCCATATTCTTTGAGCCTTCAGGGTTCAGATGTGGACTGCTATGGCAGCCTGGTTCTGAGTTCTGGGTAAGGATAAGGCTTTAGATGTCTGTGAAGATGAGGTACAGTGTAAGACTAGCTAGGGACCTGGTATCTGGAGTTCTAGTACTGTCGCCAAGCCCTGGGTGACTTTGACGCTCTCCGTCCTTTTCAGAGTCCACAATCCACATCTGAGGGGTGGGATGATAAGCCTGGCTTCATATTCTAAGGATAGCTGCTAAAGCAAGAGTCAGGCCTGTGTGAATCCTGCCTGGAGTTTGAGTGAAGGAAAGGTGATCCTAGAGCAAGGGGCAGTGGGGAGCATCGGCTCAGAGGACTGGGACTAGCAATGATCCAGGCCTTGGGCCTGGGGGGGGGTTGCTACCATTCTTGAGGGTTTTCCCCTCCCCACTCCACTCTCCCTTGGCTGAGCTCAAAGCCAGCCGCCAATGCCCAAACAAGTGGCCTCTGTTCCTAGGGGAGGGGGAGGGGAAGCAGGCCCTGGGCTCCAGGCCCGCCTGTCCAGCACTGACCCTGCCTCCCCCTTTAGCTGTGGGTCTTAACTCTTGGAAGCCTGGACTGGGTACTGGGCTGTTTGAGGGCTGGTACCTCTTGTTCTACAACTGACCCGTTTGTCTTGCTTCAGATTTCTGGGCTCTGTCTTTTGTAGAGGGAACTACAGGATGTCCTCAGAGCAGTATATATGTGGGGTATGGTTGCAGTCAGTTCCTCTCAACTCCTTTCAGGTCCATCTGGTCAGACTTAGTCCCTCCACAGACAGCTTGGGGGTGTTTGTGTTTTAAAGAGAAATCCTGTGCTAAGAATGACCACCAGGTATCTGACAGTAAAGACAGGGGGTCCCAGAGTCCCCTCCAGTGTATATTCTCTACAGAGCTCAGACTTAAGCTGACTTATCATGATCCCCACCCCATCCACTACTGACAGAATGCACTACAACTTCTTGTCCACCTACCCAGCCTCAGCCAGGCCCCCAGACCTGTACATTCTAACTGGGGCTCTGGGGAGCCCCTGCCCAAGGAGGCAAATGTCCCTTAGATAACACAATTCATGTGTGCTGTTGGCCCACAGTTCAGGGCTTGTCAGTTGCAGATTTCTTGTGGAATACCTAAACATGTTCTATAATTAAGATTTCTGAGCTGGGTGTGGTGGCGCATGCCTTTAATCCCAGTGCTCGGGAGGCAGAGGCAAGTGGATCTCTGAGTTTGAGTCCAGCCTCAAACACAGTGAGTTCCAGGACACCCAGGGCTACACAGAGAAACCCTGTCTTGACAAAACAAACAAACAAAAAAGGTTTCTGTTCTAGATCACTGGGGTAGAGTGCAATTAAGTGACTAGTTCAATAACACTAGTAGTTCAT